GTGCTATTATGAGTAGAGCAATGACGTCTTTCATGGTACAATCCATCCTGCCCAGGACATGAATCATCCCTTTGTCCAGCTTTACAGGCTTCACACTTTACAGGCTTCCAACCCATTATTCACATAGTACCCTTCCCTATCATCAGGTTGTCTGTCACAGTGTTGTGCTTGTGTTCAAGCTACATCATTTATCTCCCTTGATCTGACACAGGCATTGTATTATTTCACACCATCACAAGAAGAAAGGCAAGGACAGTAAAATCAACTTTATCTTAGGTATGTAAGTGTAGGAGAAAGTCTAGTATAGATAGGATTTGGTTCTTTCAGGTATCCATTAGGGGTCTTGGAACATATTCCCCCCCACTGATAAGGGGGCCTACTGTATACATTTGTCAAAACTCAAAAACTGCACATCTGAAAAGCAGTAAATTTTACTGTATTTAAATTATACCTCAATAAATTTGACTTTAAAAATATATAGATTGGGGCTGGGGATGTGGCTCAATTGGTAGTGCACTCGCCTGGCATGCACGGGGCGCTGGATTCGATCCTCAGCACCACATAAAAATAAAGATGTTGTGTCCACAAAAAACTAAAAAATAAATATAATATATATAGAGAGAGATAGATAGATAGATATAGATATGTAGATATAGATAGATAGATTGGTGTGGTGGCACATGTCTGTAATCCCAGCTATTTGGGAGGCTAAGGCAGAAAGATTTCAAGTTTAAGACCAGCCTGGGCAACTTAGCTAGACTTTGTCTCGAAATGAAATAAAAAAGAGCTGGGGGTGCTGGGGTTGTGGCTCAGCAGTGGAGTGCTCACCTAGCATGTGCAGGGCCCTGGGTTCGATCCTCAGCACCACATAAAAATAAATAAAATAAAGGTATTGTGTCCAACTACAACTAAAAAAAGGATATTAAAAAAAAAAAAACTGGGGATGTTGTTCTACAGCACTTATTTGGTATGTATGAGGCCCTGGGTTCAATCCCCAGTACTGAAAAAAAAGTAGATTCCAACTTCCTCTAGACATTTTCATTGTATATGTGGCATAATATGAATATATTTGTCTTTGTCTCTAGCTCCTGAGTTTCTAAAATCCTTAAAATTTCCTGAATGTTAAGAATAGATTTATGTCAAATGTGTCCCTTTGCTAACTCCTAAATTTGTTACTGAAATGATAAGGTAACAGGGTTAGAGCATTAGAGGTTTGGTAATTTCAACTCCACATACCAACCTCCAGGAAAGAGGGACAGCTACAGAGTAAGATCTATAAAAACTCTTGAACAAGTGATTTGATAAGTTTCTGGATTGTTGAACATAGAGGTGCAGATGAGAGTCCTCCCCTCCCAGGCCTTGCCCTGTCCATCTCTTCATCTGGCTGTTCATCTGTGTCCTTGAGGAGATTTTTTAATGGCACCTGTAACTAAGGTGTTTCCCCTGAGTTCTGATGGCTGTCCTAACAAATTATTGATGTTGTCAACATAAAATGAGCTACAGGACTGACACTGCAAAACAGAGTTTATTTGGACCATCGAGAGATTGCAATCCAGGAGATACAGGCTATGGCAGACCATAGGCATACACAAGGGCATTGAGGCAATGGGAAGGCTTTTAAAGATAAAAAGAAGGCCATGTGAGCCATCTTGAAACAAAGACCACTGGCCATAGAGAGTTGCAGGAGTTGGCATGAGCTCATTGGCAGAGACAGCTATTGTTAGGTAAGTGTCTTTGTGGAAGAGGCTTACCTGGAAAATTGAAGTTTTGAGGAGTTTCTCATATAATTCCTATTATATGCCTATGTGCATGGCGGCTCTTCCTTCATAATTTCTGGCTCCATTTTGTTAGAGTTTGACACAAATTACTCCATATTGATACTGATAATTTCCACAAACCCAAGGAAGGGGGTTTTGGAAGTCCAATTTATAACTATTTGATCAGAAGCACTGGGCACACAGATTAGTGCCTGAAGTCAGAGACCAGGGTCTTGTGGGACAGAGCTTTGAGACTGTGGAATCTAACCTATCTCCAGGTATATTATGTAAGGCTTGAATTATAGGACATCCCAGTTGGGGCCTATCGTAAAATTTCTTGATGTGTAGGGGAAAAAAACCCCACATATCAAATTGTTTTTCTTTTACACATACCTTTTCTCATTTTGATAAGTACATCTAGCTTTAACCTTCAAATTGGTTTTTACCAGATTCTAAGTTACAGAAATTTTCACATATACAAAACTTCACATATGGGCTTTTGCCCAACCACTCAATTTTTAGGACATTTAACATAATATGATAAATAATAACAGCACTGAAAACACATTTCAAAACATGCTTTTTGATCCTCCTTGGGTAAGATTCTGACATGTTTTGTTTTGCATTTTGTGTTCTGAAAAATTATTTTCATTCTACTTGAGACTCTGGTAAAATGTACATTTTAAATAACTGAGTAACATTTTGTAGATGATAAGAGCATTCAAATTTTTATTGTAAAACAACATAACATTACATAAAAATGTTGAAAAAAACATCATTCATAATTTCACCACCTTAGCATATATTTTCATTTCTCTATGTTTCCTTAGAGATCTTTCCCATTTGCCTAAGACAAACAAGCAGGGGACATTCAATTTTGCCTCTGGCAACAGAATATTAAAAGGACTCTTACACTCATTTGACAATAGGAGCTCTCATTTAGCTTATTTGTATAGGTTATGAAAGCCTTGAGGTTTTAAGATTCTCAAACACCAATGAATAAACATGTCCAAGATCTCATAGCACTTTGATGAAAACACCCAGAATACTCTATGGAATGAGTTGGAAAATAAATAAATCAGAGAAATGTTTTTCCAGAAATCCACCTTGTCCTCACAGACACAAGAGCCACAGCATTGACCTTGGTCAATTCCTGAAAGCCAGAGGAAACGGTATTTGAAATATGACTTTGATCTGTGTTTAATCCAGTGGAAGTTCTCTCATGCAGGGACTGTTCTTGGTACATTCCTTCTTGAATTAAAAGCTGAGTATAATCATATTGTAGAAAAGCACCTGGAGATGTATAGTCTGGAAGTATTTCTGAACATCTATTTATGTAACAAAATCTGTGAAGGGTAAATATGTTGATCAGGATGTTCACTTCCATTAAGACGTGGGCAAAGGAAATGAAGAATACTTTTTTAAGATCACAAGTTGATAGCTGGATCATTTGAGGGTGCCTTTTTCCCACTGTTATAAAGACTGCACATTATCTTTAAATTTTGGCCTATTGATAAGCATTTTAGTTAGAACTTGTGAACATAAAATATCATTTAAAGAGAAGATCTGAAGCTTTTAATTCCACCCTAGATCTGATGCCACATACAGAAACAACCCCTACTGTCCTCATGTTTCCTGACATTAGGCAGCTAATGCAGTTATAGTTCTGAGGTTGCCACCTTACTTACAGAATACCCTTCTTCCAGCCTCCGTGACAAATGACAAGAGTTTGCATCTGCAGTTTCCCAGAATCCATTTAGGTGGCCTGATTGGTGGGCTAAATAAACTTTAAATACATATTGGGTTTTACTTTGAGTCTGAATTTAAATTCCTCATCTAATTTAAACACAATAAATAAATAGCATATATACACATTTCCTTTTCTCTTTCTCTCCCTCTTCGTGGTGCTGGGGATCAAACCCAGGACCTTGTTTATCCTTAGCCCCACCTTTGATTTTTAAAATCTATCCTCTAATTCTGATGTGCACTAAATCACAGCAAGCTTCGTTATTTCTGATTTTTAAAATTAATATAGAGTTTTAAATAATTTCTTGCTAATTTTAGACAATAACCATTGAACTGTAAGATTGCATTCTAATATGCACCAACACTAACTAATAAACAAACCCCAAAGCCAAACTAACTAGCAAAATAACTCTTTATTGTTTAACTGCATTCTATTAAATGCTTTAAGCTCTAGAAGGGATCTTTGAATTATACAGTCAAAACCTCTATTTCACAAATGAGGGATTTGAGGCACCAGGAGGTCAATACTTGTTGAGGTACTCAGACAGAGGCAGAATTCCCTGCCCATCATGGCTAGCTGGGCCTTGGGGACGGAGACATACCCCAAAGGAATGTGGATATGAATTCTATAACATTTTATTTCTCAGATGGACATATAGGTTCACACTTTGAGGCTTGCATCCTTACAAAACATTCATTATAGAATGGAAGAGCACATTCTGAGAAGGACCAAAGTAGCTAAAAATGAATCAGAGTGCACATTGGGATACAGTATTACCAGGGTTCTCATTCAAACCTCTTCAATCAAAACTACTTTTTCAGTCATTCAGGGTCATACAACTTTTTTTAGTCATTCAATATCACATGCTATTTATGTAGCTTACTGTAAACGTTAGATAAATCATGTTTTATTTTCAAGAAATGCTCTAATTTTATACACAAAAATGTTTCCCTTTGTGGCATTTAAATGCATGAGTTTTTAGAACACATAAAAAGTTGCCAGGCATTTTTCTCCTACAAATATTATGATTACAGTTATTTTTATTTTACTAATAGCAGTAGTTTAGAATTTACTCTTCTGAAAACATAGTTCTCCTGACAGGTGCCTTGACATTCCAAGTTCTTTATTGATTTTTTTTTTTAAAAATTACCATTGCATCATGGTATAGTAGAAATTTAAATTTATTATTTAAAGTAGTGATTTAAGTATCAAACGTCAAAATTAAGTCAGGCTTCTATCAAAAAGCAATCTTTTGAATTGAATATAGAAAAGGAGAGCAGAAGCTCGGTGTGGCTAGCACTCGCCTGTAATCCCAGCGACTCTGGAGACTGAAGCAGGAGGATCACAAGTTTGAGGCCAGTCTCAGCAACTTAGCAAGACCCTGTCTCAAAATTTAAAAAATAAAATGAAAATAAAAAGGTCTGGTAAAGCACCCTTGGGTTTAATCCCCACTACCAAAAAAAAAAAAAAAAAAAAAAGAAAAAGAAAAAAAAGAAAAAAGAAAGAAAGAAAGAGGGCAGGGAGCAATCTATTGCACAAGGCAGAAAGTGATTTTGCATTTGTCATAGCTGAAGTTCCATAGGTTAACAAGCCCAAAGGATAAATATATTTATTGTAATTCAGCCTTTTCTTTTTGTAACATTTCATCACTAATTTCATTGAGCAGAGATCCTCAGAGCAGGTGCACATCTGATTGCTCTTATAATACCCAAGGAACTGGCAAATGGGTGGAAGGAGAGACAAGGAAACTTGTTTGCCCTATTTACTCTCAACAGATTACCAAACAGCAGATGGATTGTTTTTAAAACAGGTTCTACTGAATTTTTTTTTTTTCATGACCCAAAACACCCTGAGAAGAATAGAGGTTGCAGTCTTCAAAATGGCAGAACATCTTTAGGGCTTTTTTGTTTTTTAATTTTTTTTAGTTATTGATAGACCTTTATTTATTTATATGTAGTGCTGAGAATTGAACCCAGTGCCTCATACATGCCAGACACGTGTGCTACTGCTGATCCCCAGCCCCAGCACCTAGGTCTTATTTTTTAAGGACGTTTTTCAACACTGGTTTACAAAGTGTCCTAGCATTCTCTTGCTTGAGAGAGATTAGACTTTGGAGAGGGTGATAGACTCATGTTGTGTTGTGTGTGGGAAATTTAAAATCTTTCTACGTCATCTCCAAAAGCGCCCTGGCAAGACAGGTGCAAGAGAATTGGAAGTGGCCCCTATTCAGACTCATCCAGATTGAGTGAAGCAGAAGGAGCTTCTCATAGCAATTGTTATAAGAGGTTTGGTCAGCTTAAGACCTTGTGGGTTTTTTAAAAGCATGACCACAGACATAAGCTAACAGATTCTGTTTCCCTACCTGGCGCTGGAATTTATGTGTTGAAAAGGAGTGAAATTGGGCTAGGGTAGAGGATAAGGAGCAGTCCTCAGGATTGGGTGCCCAGACAGAAATCCAGCTGCTATTTGCTTCTGTCCCTTGGCCCTCCAAGCTGCTCTTGTGGAAAACTGTCAATTCCTTCCACCTGATCCCCTTTCTCACTTCTGGGGTGAGAAAGAAAAAAAAAATCTGTGTTGGTTTTCAGCCAAACCAAAATCTCTTGATTTTGTTCTAAATTATCTCTAGAAAGTTGAATGCATCTATTTTCTCAGCCTCATGTCCCCAAGAATGTGACAGAGCTTCTCTGAACCCCAAGCAGGAGGTGGCTGCAGTGTTTAGGCAAATTCCTGCCTGGGACCAAGGGTGCTTTCCACATTTCCTTATTTATGGATCAAAAGAAGCAAAGACAGTTTACTTCTTACATTAACCTGTGATTCCAGTACTGATCCTACAACCTCAAAATTCAATCTGTATTCTAGAATATAGATTTGAAAAATAGGTGCAGTTACTTATTTTGTAACCTAAGGGTACATAAAGACTCATTGGCACATATGAATTCGTTGTCCAATGCTTTCATGTTAAAAAACAGCTTTGATAGTACATGATGTGGTAATGTTATTTTTCTTTCAAGATGTTTATATACATATGTATGTTTAAATATATATACACATATATACTTAAAGCTTCTTAAATTTCAATTTAAAGCAGTTACATTCTAACCCAGTGTCAGAGCTCATTGACTCAAAATCTCTGTGGGCCAGTAATGCCACATGACCAGACAGTGTGGGGGGTCAGGGAGCAGTCCTTCTCCCTCCAAAGCCAACCATCCTATTGGCTAGCAAGCAAATTCCGGGGATAAATAGGATTAAGTGCTTCAAAGAGGATTCTCTTGTCCTCCCTCAAAGGAGGATCAAACACTCTGGTCTAGTTCTGCAACAAAAATAAGCCCCTGAGAAGGAGAAAGTGCTTGTTTACATAGCATGTGGCCTTTCCCAAAGCCTCCTCATCCTCTTTCTCCACCATCCAAGGCTGGCTGGGGAGAACCCTTCTTGGCAGGCAGGTGTGTGTGGTGGATCTAATCCTGCTATATAGCAGGTTCAACCAACTACTTTCTTTGGTTTCCTAAATAGGGTCAGATCTTGTACAGCAGCGGGAGGTTAAGACCCCAAATCTCTTTTGGTGACTAATGGATCAACTGCCATAAACTGGGCCACTGGGCCATAAGAAAGCACTTTGTTTGAACTTCTAACTGCACATTCTCTTAAATTTAGGCCCCAAAGGACTGAGGTAATAATAATAATAATAATAATAATAATAATACCTGCTTACATCTTATTGCAATTCGTTTCGTGTCCAGGAAACAAATCAGCCACCTACAAACAGCAAAACCACCCACCCTCTTCATGCTTCATACCACCTCACCCACTTCTCCAAACTGTCCCATGCAGAGAGTGGGAGACGCCTGCAGGAGTGGGGCACCAAATTTGGACTCCGTGTAAAAACGTCCCAGTAGCACACGCGTTAACCTATTAACTCAAAGGAATCTGGGGTCACTATGGATCGTTTCTATTAATAGGGAATAAAGCTCCTGCAGATATTAGCGGTAATGCCCTGACAGCTCAAGCAAAGTTAACTCCTCCCGGGCCAGCAAAAGAAAACCATGTCCTGCCCAGGCAGAGGTGCGCTAGAAATGCATATACACATGCGCATACGGTGTTTTTGTGCTGCTTGCCTTAACAGGCCAGACTGCAAAGCCCATTTTGAATCTTGTTTACCGGGAGGGAGCAGGCTGCAGGCGGTGGGTAAGGGTGGCCGTCAAGCGTCAACCTAGCTTTACCACGCTCAAGGCTAGGGCCACAGCCGCCAGCAGCACGGCGCTGAAAAGAGTAGCAGCCAAGGCCTTGCTGGGGTTGCAGGATCTCGAGCGCTCTTCTACAGACACGGCGCCGACGGAGGAGGCGCCCATGCTGTTACTGGACAGTAGTTCGGCGCCCGCGGTCTTCTGGGCCTGTACTGTCCAACGCGGTACATTGACTTTCATTTCCATGTCGTTGATCATCTCTCCCACCTGAAGGACCTCGCGCTCCAACTCCTTCAGATCTGAGACGTCAAAGTCGCGTTCAGCCTGGTGACTTAGGCTGCGGGCGCTCAAGGCGCGCGCTGCTACCCGGGAGGAATCACCAGTTACACCGGTGCGCACAAGCGGCCGCAGAGGCGTATGCAGCGGGAACGCGGCTCCCAGCGCCAGTGCGCGTTGCATGTCGGCTTCCAGTATGTCCAGACAACCAGAGAAGGCCACCCAGAGGCGCTCAAATTCCATGCGATCCTCCGCGGCCAGACCCCGGTTGCGCAGCGCAACAGTCAGCCGGGCACCAGTGGTCACCGCCAGCTCCCGCGCCTTCTGGCGGGTCTTCTGTAGTTCCTCCCTCAGGTTCTGTGAGTCCGCTGAGCCGCCGACGGTCAGCACCAAATGGTGGTAGCAAGCGGTGGTCTTGTTGAGTGCGTCTAGCAGCGCCTTGCATTCCTCTCTGGCCATGGTGGTGCGCTCCGTCGGGATCCAGCAGCCCGCACCCCTCTTACACCCTCAGCGCGGCAGGACGCTGCCAGCCCAGATGCCACCTTTGAGGTGAGCGGTCCGAACACTCTTCATGGCCCGTGATTCGTTCCGCGTTTTAGCAGCTAGCCACAAAGCTCTCCAAGGACTCGCAACTTGCACCTCCAAAGACCCAGCGCGGAGAGGGAGTTGAGTCAGCTGCCTCCCATTCGCTTGTTCATTCTTTCCAGACGCGCCCCGAGGCACACACTTATCTTTGCACGACCCTTGCTTCCCCAGCGGCTCCCTGGGAAGCTCGGGGAGCGAACCCCATCCTCCTCTAGAACCACCCCAGGGCTAGCGGGCCGCCCAGCTGTGCGCTTAGCCTTAGTCGCTGCCTAGGGCAGCCGGATCGGGTTTCGTAGGACCCGCCCACCCCAGTCCTCGCAGTGTGCTTCCACCCCCTGGACCAGGAGTAGGCGGAGCCCCGCTCGGGGAAGTCACGTGTGGGTCTAGCATCTCTACCTCTTCTGCACCCCATTACAGTTCTGGAATGTTAAGACCAGCAGTTACAACCTTTCTTTATTGTGCAGATGATGAAACTAAGAAGAACTGGGTAAAAAGAAGGCTTAGTTCATGCAGAGTCCACGCAAGCGAAGGGACTAGAACCCAAGGACAGTGACTCCCAGATCCTCTAGGCAACAGAGTGATGCGCCTCATAAGACTGGGTACTTAAGTCCCGCAAAGCGAGCAGCGAATAGCAATCCGCCCGGTGGGACAATTTCCCGACGGGGTTCTTTTCCCCACTTGCAGTCCAGCCTCCTTTCAAAAAGCTAGCTTGGACCCCACCCCTAGTGTCAGATCTGCCCTCGGGCCCGCCCCTTCCATTCTGGGCACGCGCAGTCGTTGATTCTGGGCGGGGCTTCTCTGAGTAGGAAGCGCTGTGAGTTGCCTGAGTACCACCCCCGGCTGGGCCGGACTCAACGATTGCTTCACGTACACGTCACTCTAGATAAGGACGGCCGCTTATTGGGCCGGGCGGGCTAAGGTGCGGCTCCACCCAACGGCGGTGTAAAGGGGTGGGCTGTGGAGCCGAGCTGCCGCACCGGGGTGGTGGGCACTGGGGTCCCAACAGAGGGCCTGGGAGGTGCTGCCGCAGCCCAGAGATGGGCTGGGAGTGAAACTATGTAGCCTCTTAAGTAAGTGTCCTCCAGCCTGTCTCTTCTCGAGCCTTCCTTCTCTCGGGACCGCGTCGCCTCGGGGCCCTGAGGCCGGGCGGGGCCCGGGAGTGGGAAGGGGGAGGGGCTCCCTCCTCTCGGAGCCGGCGCCCCAGGCTGGGCTCCTGGGCCCCGGACGGCCCTGGCCGCCTTCTCCCGTTCAGGTCCGCAGCCAGGCGCGCTGTGCCTACTACGCTCCTGTGTCGAGAGGGAAGGGGAGGGCGGCGCGAAGAATGCGCCCTCTGACCCCCGCGGTCTGGGACAGGCCGGCGGGTCAGGGGTGCGGGGAGCTAGAACTTGGGGTAGTGAGCGGGGACCGTAGCTCACGCGTGGAGTCGCTTCCGCTGTTTCCTAGCGGCCTGGGGGGACTGGAAGGGGGAGGCTGGGGATGCGGGTTGTGGTCCTGGGAGACGAAGAAAGGAGAGCGGGGAATCTCTGCTTGCTTGCCTTTCTTGGAGCGGGGTCTCCTCGCCCACCTACGTGGAGATTACTGGAGGAAAACTCTTAAGCACCAAGAGATGTTCCAAACTCTGGGTCTGTTTAGTTTATTCGTTGAAGATGCCCAGCGGCGCGCTCGCTCGTCGAGCCTTGCTCTTCTGGCTGCCGCTCGAAGTGCAGGGGATGTGGGCACTCGCGGCCCATGCCGGTGGTGGGAGCAAGTGGTACATCTTCACTGTGGGTTTAGGACCTTAAGGGAACGAGGGGTTGCAAGACTTGGGGGACTATTAGGGTGCACGTGAGCTGAGATTTTCAAAGTTTATGGGTTTCCTGGAGATAGGGCCTTGTTTTGATGAAATATTACACCCTTCCCGCTGGCCCTAGAATATAGCAGTGAACATGAGCAATTTGAGATTCCTACGTGGGGCTTAGTATTGTGACCCTCAAGAGGATCTGGAGTGCTGAGTCAGTCCTAGGACTTGCTCTCACTCAGTCTGTCCTTAAACCTTCCCGCTGGCTGTTTGGGAATAGAGCTTGGGCGCTCTGGCCCTTGGCCATTCTCTGAGGAGGAGGGTCTCAGTCACCCAATGCCCTGGGGTAGTTTTCAGAACAAAATCAGTGGAAGAAGGGAAAACCCATCTGTTTGGAGAGCTTTGGGAACAGCCAAGGATGAGGAGGCTAGAAAGATGGGCCGAGGCCTGCTGTGAGAGGCTTTCAATACCTAACAGAGACTAGGAGTCCTCACTGTTGGAAAGATCACTTTGCTGAATTTCAGGAAATCCAGGAGGCAGAAGCCTTAGGCTTTGGAGGAGGAGATAAGAGAATGGAGCAGGAGTGTGTGCTTCTTCTCAAAGTCTAGCGGCAATAAAGCCTTCCCAGCCTTGACTTGTCACCTGAAATAATACTGCCAGGCAGCATTACTGGGGAAGCAGGCTACGTATCTGCATAGGGTTTGGGGTCACTATCTTGGCTGTGCCTCCATATATCTATTGGACTGTTTGCCTTTATAGGGAGCTGCTGGATCTTTGTTATTGGTGCATCCATATGCTGTTTAGTGTTTCTCTGGCATCTGCCCTGTTTGCACTTTCCATGGTTATTAGTTGCCAGCATTTGGCTCGTGTCCAGTAACTTCAGCCTCTCATAGATTTGCGGAGGAATGTGACTACATGATGATACCAGACCTAGAAAAGATTTAATCCAGAAAAATTCAGTCCTCATTTACCCTGGGGTTCTTTCCATATCTGAGAGATACTGAGAAGTGGCCCTTAGAGCACCTGCCCTTTAACCCAAGATACTGGCAGAGAGATGGGTGAATGATGGTTCTACCTGCAATTCTAGGAGCAGTGTGAGGGGTAGCAGTCTTCTCACCCCGCCTTTTTTTGTGGTATTAAGGATCAAACTCTGGGCCTTATGCATGCTAGGAAAGTGCTCTACTATTGAACTACCCAAGTATCTGGGATTACAGGTGTGGGCTCCTGTGCCTGTCTGATTGGGTGTCATTCTGAGAGGTGGTTGTGTTCTTCCAAATCTGCCTGCTGTCTCCATGGTCCCACCCTGCTTCTAGGCATGAGACTTTTCTCCCTCTCTTAATGCTGCACATTCCAGCTGTCATTGTGTTTGGCTAACTTTGAGCATTGTGTTTGTTTGGGGGTTTTTGCCTTTGTGCCTGCTTGGCTACTGCCTGGGGCTAGCCCCTCACCTATGCTGTTAAGGGCAGTGGCTTTCCAGATCCTGTGAGAGATGCTCTCTCCCTGAGAGGTTGAGCTTCTTCTTTTTTGTTTTATTTATTTTTTGAAGGTTTTTTTTTTTTTTTTTTTTTTTTTAGTTTCTTCTTAACACCTCACTATCATTTTGTTCAATTAGATAAACAGGTGCTTCCTTCCTATGGTGAGCCAGATGCAGGGCTGAGTGTTTAAAGTGGAGCTTTAAGAAAAATATGGACAGGATCCATAAATGTTACAGGCCAGAAGGACATAAGTGAATATAACAGCATACATTACATCATCCAGTTGCTTCCACTGGTATTAAAAATAGATGAAAAGAAATTTTTTTCCCCTTCTCTTTTGGAATCACAAATTAAACCAACTGGAGAATGTTGCTCATCATTTGGAAAGTGTGCTTGGTAAAGTCTTTGGTCAGGGGCCTGGAAGGATGGAAGCAGCCACAAGGGTGAGATTTTGGCAGGGAGTGCATCTCTGGGAGGTAGAGACTTCTCTGTGCTGGATTCTGCTGAGCCAGGCTGCACTCTGTCACCAGATGGTTCCTGACTACCCAGACTTAACCGGGCTGGCAGGGTGGTCGAAGACCACAAAACCATGAGTGTGCATACTGTCTTCCCAAATGCCCATACTAATTTGAGGCCTCATATGTCTTTCCTATTCATAGAGTAACCTCGATAACTCACATTCGGGGGTATTTGGTATCTCTAACCAACTGCACTAGATTTGTTGTAAATGATGCCATCATTTTGAGCTCAGGCAGGGATGGTATTTGTTTTTTAAAGGAGTTTTCTAAGAGAATTCACTTTCCAGTTTTATAAGGAAAATTTGTTTTTATTTGTGTGTGTGTATTTTAAAATGAAATGCTCATTCTTGGAAATAAACTTATCAGAGCATTAAATAATTTTAAGCAATTATCCATATGTATCAATTGAACTTTGACATTAACTCCGGGATTGTACTTGATTACTACATATTGTTGACTCTAGGACAGAAAAGTTGAGGACAGTGCTGGACAGAACTCTTTGAATCCTGACTCCCTGACAGGGTTTCAGGTGTTGTGACCAGGGGGACTGATGTCTAAGAGAAAGCAGATGACTTGGGAAGATAACAGCAAGCTCTGTCTGCTCAAGCAGCAGTGCTAAGAAAGAACCTTGTGTGCTTACGCACTTCACATGTGTGACCTGAGTGTTTTGATGTGGCATTCAGGGCCTTTCCTTTCCTTGCTGTTCTGTCCCCCTCTGACCTGCTGTGCTTGGATTCTTTCTTCCTTTTTTTTTCTTTGTGATGCTGAGGATGAGCCCAGGGCCTTGTGCGTGTGTGCTCTACCACTGAGAGCTCCACCTCCACCTCCGCCTCCAGTCTTCTGCTTGGATTCTTATGATTCTTTGGACTCATCTCCTCCTTTAGTTAAAAAAATAAAAAAAATTTACTCTTACGTTTTTGTGCCCACATGGAACCTGTCCCTGCATCCTAAACCTTTGGTTCCTATGTTGTCCCTGCCAGGCATGCCTCCCCCTCTCCACCTGTTCCCCTTTCTGTGCTGCTCCCATTTCTCTCTGTCCCTTCCTCCCAGCTGGTTTGTTAGTTCTTCCACAGAAGCGCTCCCTTGAAGACTTTTGTCTTGGGAATGGAGGTTTTGGAGCTCTGCCAGCACCTTGTCTGAAGAGCAGGAGTGCCCTTTCCCAGCTTTAGTCTGATCGTATTTTGCATCAAGTTTCTCACATGGTTTTTGTCCAAAGCACCTTTACTCTTTCACTCTGCCAAATAGAACCAACTGTGTTGGGAACCATGAAAAATGTTATTCTTTGTGACTGTCCTGGCAAAATTGCATCATTCAGTTGTTCTGTTGGGGACTCATAAAAGGATTATCTGGGTTCTACTAATAATTGAATTCAACAATAAAGTACCTGAACTGTTGCACAGCTCTCCCTAGGGCCCAAGAAGGGATTATTTGTAGCCATTTTTTATGTTAGACTCTTCTTCCTAAAAGGATTTGCAAGGAGCTCAGGGGCTTCCATTAGGCAGACCCCAGGGAGTCTGCAGCCAAGATAGCTATGGATGGATAAAAGAGATTTGGTGTGGAGCCTGTGTGGCTGTCATCCAGGTAAATAAAGCATGGCTCCTATCTATCTGTGGCTCATGAAATAACCCCTTTCCAAGCATATTTACATCATGGACATAGTAGTTAAAGGGACAAGTTTTAGAATAAGTTTTGACATCTGTGCCACCTTCAGGAGCTAGCTAAATCTCAGTTTCTTCATATGTGACATGGGACTAATAATATCTTACCTGGAGTTATTTTCAGTATTAAAATGGGATGAGGATGTATAAAAGTTATCAGTGCCTGGAACAGGGATATTCACAAATGGTGGCTGGGTTCTCCTCCCGCCCCCAACCCCATGCTGGGGATTGAACCCAGGGCTTTGCGTATTAGACAAATGCTCTACCACTGAGCTACATCCCTATCGCTGTTTTTTCTTTAGTTATCAAGGATAGAATTCATAATGCCTTTAAGCAAAATGTTCTGGTGTCTTCCCAAGCAGCATTAGAGAATATTGTTACATAGTGAGACAGTAACTCGATTTTTCATTTATATTTCTTTCATCTGATTGTATCAAGAGTAATAGTGTCCTCTAATAGCTGCTAATTTTTTCTTTATGATTGAGAGAAGGCTTCAGGTTTCAACCCAGAAGCTCTAACTGGCAACAGTATCTAGTAAGGTGGGGTTTTTGTGGGTGATTGTTTTTTTGGTGCTGGGGATTGAACCCAGGGACACTCTATCACTTAGCTACATCCCCAGTCCTTTTTATTTATTTTGAGACA